TGTGTGATAACGTCCTTGGTTACTGGAGCTTTATGGCCAGGATCCAAAGGCACATTTGAGGCAGGCCCTTGCATTGGGTTGTACAAGTTGAATCTTCCTTATCCAAAATGCTTGAGACCACATGTATTTTGGATTTGAGAGGTTTCTTTTTTTTGCATTTTGGAATATCTGTATTTGTATATACTTACATAATGAGATAACTTGGAGTTGGGAGCCAGGTCTAAACACAAAATTCATTTATGTTTCATATACACCTTATTTGCCTAGCCTGAAGGTAAATTTGTACAACATTTTTATTAATTTTGTGTATGAAATTTTGTGTATGAAATCTTTTGGAAGATTTCAGATTTTAGAATTCTGGATAAGGGAGACTCAAGTTATATTTTTTCTTTGTCCTGAAGATTGTTAACCATCCCACCCATGCCATATCCACAACTGCCGTGAACACTCTCCTCATATTTAAAATGTAGAATTGCTATCCCAGAAACATAATATGAACAACCCCTGGGGGCAGGTGGAACTAGTTATTTGGGTGCCACCTGATGAAGCAAAGTGTTTAGGTGTAACTCATGTATCTATTTGATCACTCATTTCTTAGAATTTGAATATGTATCTTTTTAACATGCTCTTCAGCTGAAAAAGCTCTCAGAGGATTTTATAGTCATCATCGTCATCGTCATCCTCATTATTGCTGTTATTGTTATCATCCAAGAAAAAGGAACATAGATTTAGGTCTAATTCTTATTGTTTGTCCCTAGAGTAGAGCCATTGAATTAATGGGATCTACCTATGTATTGACTAGAGTTTCCAGTTCAGGGTTGTTCCCTGAGAGGTTGTAACTGCCCTGGTGATGTCATTAAATACCCAACACAGTTGCTCATAGCTTGTAATTCAAACACACAAGACCTAATACACACAAGACCTAAGCAGAGCAATGGAAGATAAGGGGGCCTAGAGATGTTTCATCCACAGTGTCACAAGTTCTCAAGTCACCAACATAGTCCATAGCCACCACTAGACAACAGGCCCACTTGTTGATGTTAGCTGCCCTTGAGTCAACCTTGACTCATGGTGACTCTTTGAATGAGACATCTCCAAGCCTCCCCTATCCTCCACTTTTCTGCTCAGGTCTTGTAGATTCAGCAAATGAGGTGGTAAACCTCTATCTGGACTATGCCATTTTAGATTGCCTTTTAGAGGTGAGAATGGTAAAGGAGGGGCCATAAGGACACAGAGAAGCCTTTGGTCCATCCTTGACCAGACAAATACTCCTAGGCAACCCACAAACAGGGCAAGAGGTCAACACCCCTTCTCAATGTTTACTTCTCAGCAGTTGGTGACCATGGAGAATCTATTTAGCTGATGCAAGGACAGATATAGATTTATCTTTCACCAATGCATCCATGCCTCACTGTAAGCCAGTGGCTACCATTTTGTAGCGGCAAATTTGGTAAATAAGTGTTGGGTACCTAAATATTGTAAAGGCACCAGATCCTGTCGATCATGGAAGCTGAGCAGGATTGGCCCTGATTAGTACTTGGATGGGAGACTGCCAATGTATACCAGGTACTGTAGGCTATATTTTGGAGGGAGGAGCTAGCAAAACTACCTCTGAGTATTCCTTGCCTAAGAAAACCCCAAGAAATTCATAGGGTCACCATAAGTTGGCAGGAGACTTTAAGGAATACACACACACACACACACAGGATACTTCCTGTTTGGAGAGAAAAAAGAAATCTCTGTCAACCAGGACTTGTTAATATTACTTTTTAACACTATAGTGCTCAGAATTCCTTGGCCAGTGGCCAAGTTGGTTGGGGGATTCTAAGAACTGGAGTTAAAAAACACACCAGATGGTGGGAGATTGGAAGCTGTAGTACACAAAAGTAACTTTTCCAAGCTTCAGCCCAGATTTAACTGGCTCACAAGCATCATCTGAGTACACTTTGCTCCTGTCCCTGACTTTGCCATGATGGGAAAGTGAAGATGGTGTAAAGCAAAGTCTCTGTCTGAGACCCCAAGTGAAGAAGTGCCAGAAAATATGCTATCTGTGGACCGAATGGTGTCAGAGGCTATGGCTCCATCTCTAACATCTGGTAGATGTCCTCACCTCCTGATGTTATCTGGCCCACAGAAAGATATAGGGGGAATCAGGCCCCTTGTTGCATCCAAATGTCCCCCAAGCCTACATAAAAGGGAGCTTTGATATTCCTCACTTCATTCAGTTCCCCACTGTTGTGACTGGTCAATCATGTACTGCATTAGAGGAATTAGGAGAGAATAAAAGACAGACAGAGAGGAAGATGAGAGTGAGGGAATTAGTAAGAGAAAAAGATACAGATAAAAGGCTCTGTGTGTGTATGTATGTTCAGGAATGCTGTTGAAGAGGGCAGTTAGGTATATTAAGTCATCAGCTTTTGCCAATGTGGTGTTCTGTGATTGTGCTGGAATCCATCATCCCTAGCTAGGCCATGCTTCTGGGAACATGGGGATTATGGTCCAATATATCTGGAGGGGATCAGTTTTAGGAAGGCAGGGTTGGCTTGTTAGAGAAAAGCATAATTACTTCTTCTTGGTCAAAGGACTACTTGCTCCGGATGTTATGCTCCATTCCATTTCCTGATTTAACTCCTGCTGTTTTTTTTGCCCTACTATGTGTGGATTCTAGGGTGAGTGTGTCTCACCCCATGTACTTGCTTTGATAGATACAGAAATCATATTGAGGGAGAGTCTGCCATTCTCTATCATTTCGTACAGTATGATGACAGATTGTTTCAATGAAGAGGGGTCTGGACACAGTATGCTAACTGGGTTATTTACCCAGTGACTTTTAGAAACCAAAATCTTAAAAAGGATCCCTCAAGTTTCACAAACCTGTTACAATGCTGTTGTTGTTGTGTGCGTTCAACTCATTTCCGACTTATGATGACCCCCAGGCAAACCTATCATGGGGTTTTCTTGGCAATGTTTGTTCAAAGGAAGTTTTCCATTGCTTTCCCCTAAGACTGAAAGCATGTGACTTATTCAAGGTCACCCAGTAGGCTTCATGCCCAGCAGGGAATCGAACCCTGGTCTCCAGACTCATAGTCCAACACTCAAACCACTACGCCACACTGTTGCTCATTGTGTATTCCTGCTGGCTCTCCAATGCTACTCCACATTAAAACAAAAGATTCCTGCATTGAAAACTAATTTGCACAGAAAAAAAGACCTCCCTGGTCTTTAGAGATCACTGGGTGTTGCTTTTGTTGTGTTAACTTTTGTAGTGACAGCATAATACCACTCCCTTGGGTTCTGTGGATTCAGTTGTGAATGAACACTGCAAACCCAGTCTAGTTTGCAAATTTACATCAAAATTGCAAATTAACAGTAACAGTACATTCTATACTGAATATGCAACTCTCTCACAGAGCACCAGTACAGGACTCGCTTGTGGAAATCTTGCTACTGAACTATTATAGTAGGCATTCTGAAACCCCTAATTCAAGATAAGAAGCATCCAGTTCCTAACCCCAATTAAAAAATGCAACACTTTCCTCCTACAGCTCTCTTTCTAAACAGATAAGTACAGTTAGGGCTTCCTTACCCATTGGGCCAAACCATTACTTCACAGGGGTTATACTTGGAAATGTCTCCCCAACCAAAAAAAACCAAAACCAAAAAACCAACAACCCCAAAATGAAAACCCATACATCTCTATTTGCATTCATGAAAAAAATGTTTTAGGTACCTTCAACATTTAGTGCGATAACATCCCAGATCCACAAAACAGTGATACCTTTATTGAGCAAATCAATACATGATGTATTTTGTGCATTTTGGTTTGCCCACTAAAGGTATCATTGTTTTGTGGATTTGGGATGTTCTTGTACTTTGCTGTATGGCCAATATGGCTACCCCTGGATATGTCTTCAACATTTAGGTTACCAGTATTTCCTCTGCCTTTCCATTTCCCCCCATTCTCTCTCAAGTTCATTTGAGTCTTGTGTACTGATAAGAAAAACTCTGTCCCCTTTTTCTTTCTGCTATAAACCCCACCTGAGATGAGTATTTAATCGGAATCCAGGTGGCTGACTTCCCATTTTTCCATCTGGGAAAATTACCAAAACTAAGTGTTCTGTTATGATCCCACTGGGCTAGTACGCTGATCTCCACAGGCTGTTGCTACATCCCCATCTGCCTTCTCCATATGACAGGCATTATTAATATTTATCATTTATACAGCACTTTAAGCATTAAAAGGAGTTTGGATAGTCCTCTCATCAGGTAGACTATTACAGTCAGCCATCTGTATTCGCTGGATTCCTTATCTACAGATTCAACCATCCATGGCTTGAAAATATTCAAAAAGTACATAAATTCCAAAAAAGTAGACCTTGATTTTGCTATTGTATATAAGGGACACCATTTTATTACACCACTGTATTTAATGGGACTTGAACATCCACAGATTCTGGTATCCATGGGCTGGTATCCTAGAACCAAGCCCCAGTGGATACCAAGGGCCCACTGTATTATCATTCCACTTTTATGGGGATCTGGTGGAAGTAAAAGCTATATTATACATAAAGTTTCATAGCATTGCCCTTCTGGGACTAAACATGAATGTGTGTCAACAAACCCACTCTCCTTATTTCTTGTAAGCTAATATATCATAGCAATATAGGAAGCTGGCTTATCCTGAATCAAACCATTGGTCCATCTAATCTAGAGGTTCTCAACCTTGGTGTTCCAGACTGAGACTTCAATACTCAGAATTCTTGAACAATGACCCTGCTGGCTGGAACTTATGTGCATTGAAGTCCAAAAACATCAGAAGAACAAAAGCTGAGAACCACTGATCTAGTCTAGTGCTGTCAACTCTGATTGGCAGCTCTCCAGCGTTTCAGGCAAGATACTTTTACACTCCATCCAGGAGATTCCATGGTATTTGCAGGTGGTTTCCCATCTAAGGGCTAACCAGGTCCAACCCTGTTTAGCTTCCAAATATTTTCAAGCCAAGACTAGGGCTTCATCTAGACTGCAGAATTAATGCAATCATGGCTTTAAATGTCATGGCTTCATGCTATGGAATTCTGTGGTCTATAATTTTGTGAGATATTTAGCCTTCTCTGTCAGAGAGTTCTGGAGCCAGAACAAGCTACAAATCCCAGGATTCCATAGAATGGATCAGTGATAGTTAAAACAGTCTCAAACTGCATTGATTCTGCAGTGTGGCAGCAGCCTGAGTGTACCCAGGGTGGTTAGTGGTCATATATACATACCCTGCAACATTTCACAGATGAAGACTTTAATGAGGAAGAACTCACAAACTAGGAGAGGCTGCAGCAATTTGCTTTTGCCTGAGTCTACTGGGAAGGACAAGATTCTGCCCCCTCTTGTCACTTCCCTCATGCTGAGTTAACTGAATGCAAACTACTTTAAACTCAGGTTGCAGCAGCTGAAGTAAGCTGAGGACAAAGGGGGGGGGAGGATAGTGAAGCAAGGATATTTTAAAGGCAGAGAAAAAAGTGGGATTAACCAGGTCTGTCCTGTCAAATCAAGACAGTTGGAGGTTATGTATTCAGAGTTGTGAGGTGGTCTCCTGTAGAAATATCAACCAGCCCCAACCCTGCTGAGCTTCCAACATCAGAGGAGATCAGCCATTTTCTAGGTGACATGGCTGTTGGCAATTGAGAAAGGGTTCACCTGACCTCCATGGCTTCCAAATGGATGGAGGTTAGAAGGATGCATGGGGCAAAACGGGAGATGAAGGCTTAGCAAAAACATGTCCCAAGACACTAAGGAAAAGGAAAAGAGGATAAACTAGCAGAGCTGTAAGAGGCACAGAAGCCTTATAAAATTGAGAACATAAGTAAATGCAGGGTGTCTTGCTTCCAGACTTCTGGACTTGGTGGCAAAAACTGAATCAAGTTATTGGTATCTTCTCACGAAGTGATGACTGTCAAATAGGGAACAAAAGGGCTATAGAGTAATCACAATTTCGTTTCTGCTTCTAGAATTTTGAGACTGTTTTTTATTTCTCTGCTCAGACCAGGAGTGAAGGGATTGGGGATGGAAGTATGAACTTGGACCAACTGAAAGCACTCTTCTTGTTATAATTATTACTTCTAGAACTTTGGAAAGTTGCTTTTGGACTACAGTTCCCAGAATCATCTGGGTTTCTTGCCTACATTTGGAGCTATAATCCAGTAAAGTAACTTTCTACAGCTCATTTTGCTTCTTTAGCAACACAAAACATAGCACACAACATTTAAGGCCAGGATCATGTCAGTAAGAGCTGATATGATGTAGTGGTTTGAGTTCTGGAGATCAGGGTTCGATTCCCCACTAACCATGGAAACCCATCGGGTGACCTTGGGCAAGTCACACACTCTCAGCCCCAGAAAAACCTGTGATAGTTGGGTTGCCAGAAGTCGGAAACGACTTGAAAGCACACAGCAACAACATGCCAATAACTTCCAGTTAGAATGAGGCACAATGTTTTACAGTAAAATTAGTCTCTTGACAGAGAATGCCTTAAGCATTCTCAAATAGGAAGGATTTGACTTGCTTCCTAAAATTTGACATGACTGGGCATCTTTAAGAAGAAAGGAAAAACCACTGTAGCTCAGATCAAAAGACTAATGCAATCCAGCTTTTTTATCCCATAATAGCTAATGGAAATCTCAGGCAGCCCACAAGCAAGATAGGAATAGGAGAGTACTGTCCCACTGGTGTTCCCTAGCAACCGGTAATCCCAGAAATAATATATAATCACCAAGGTGGTACCCATCAAAACCCTTAAACTCCATGAATGTGTCAAATTTCCTTCAAAGCTGTCCATTTCTGGAGAGGTACAACATGGACAACTACACAAGCCTTCTTCTTAGACACATCTGATAAGTCACTTCTCTTGGGAGACTGAAATATGATTCAGAGCCTGGCCTCCCAGCACCTTTTAATGATAACATGTTAATTTCTGAGGTTCACCTAGCATCATCTCAAAGGAGACCTGATGACTGGTGTTGATCTGATTCTTACTAGCTAATTACCTGCTACATGACATTTTATTTTCATTTGGAGAAAATAATGTCTGACTTCCAGGTTTGAGATGTGTCTCTCGTATCCTCTGTTTTGACAGGTCTGCTCTCCCCGTGACATCTTTTGTCATCTCCCTGAGAGATGTGGCTGCTCTTCAAGATTTGACTGTGTGAAGGAGCAAAAGCGCTGCAGAGAAGGATTCAGATGACAGCCCAACACAGTTGACTTGATTGTCGTGATATATCCACAGTCTCCTACAGCATTGCCATGGACTCCTCATGCGTCACAGTGTCTCATCTTTCTAATGTGCAGAGTACCACATGGTTTCGTCTCATCCTTTTTGCATATATCAAAATGGTCCAAACTTGGAAAATATAATGATCCCCCACCTATCTTTAGCCATAGTTATGGTGACCACAGAATTCATCTTCAGCCATCACTATTACACATCTGTATTCATTTTTGGCTGTTTCTTCATTTAAAGTAGGGATCTATGGATCTGGCCCACTGCACATACTGGGTTGTGGAAAATGAATAAAATAATGGTTACAGTAGGGAGGGCACCCAAGGAAAAGCAGAAATGCATTTCATACAGTTCAGTATGGCATTTTCAGTAGCTCAAATGAGTCCACATGACAGGAAAAGCCACATGTTGGATTTGTGGTATCTGCATGTGAGACAATATTTAACCATTTCATATGGTGTCCTTTAATGAAGGGTTCATTAACTTGCTGACACTTAATTCCCAAACACAGAGGCTAAATTCTACTATTGGTCCCAACTAGAGCAGAGACATTGAATTTACTCATGTGTGTTGACTCACCACTCAATTTATTGAATGGGTCTACTCTAGTTGGAACTAACCAACAGGATTCCAGCCAGGGCCACTTCTAATATATTTCCATACAATCTTTTTTGCCTGCTTTCTCTCTCTTTCCCCCCACTACTTCCACAATAAATTAAAAGAAAATTATGGAGATGCCTCATAAAATAATCTAGAGGAGGAGGAGATGTGCCACAGTTTTGGATAACAACTTGTTTGCAGAAGACAAATGACTTAATATACAGGTTCAGATATGTGAGTAAGGCTTGGGTGG